TTTAACGCTTCACAATCTCTCTCCGAAAATTGCTGCTTTTCGTTGTCTCAGCTCAACGGTGGTTCTCACCAAAATCAGTCCAAACTAGTAAAATGTGTTTGAATGTTCTGTACCTCAAAATCTAGATCCATTGTAAACACATTTGTAAAATGGGGTTGGGTAATGACAGTCCAGTTAAATTGATTTATTTTGAATTTTCAAACTGTGAATACAGTCGTCAAGGCTCAAGCACATGCTAATTAAGCCAGCACTTATTCTGTTCTGTTTAAGGTGGGACGTCGAAGGTAATCTGCGCAAAACTTCACACGTCGATGTTGACCGACCCAAATCCAGCTTATACAGTTGACAGTTTTCTTCTGACTTTTAAGGTAATATTTTCACCGCATACTTTTGGGACCTGTTTAACCTCAATTCCATGGCTGAAGTTAACCTCTGAAACTACAATCGCGTGACTGGTGAGTGAAATGCGATAGCGCGTGTGACCATGTTCTAAGCGTAAGTGAAACATTCTAGCATGGGTGTTAATCACAAGAGGTCAAGCGCTAATTTCCTGGCAAAATTGTAACCGCTTTACTTCATGGAGGTCGACTAACCTTACGGGTGGAAATTTCTACTGCCATGGGCTAAAAATCAAAGCATTTTGGGGTGGAACTTGGTTTACAATCGGTGCATGTATAATCATTGCTTAAAATCCATTTTTCATCATTGTCAATCATCTACCATCCAGTCGCATACTCAGAGAAGGAGAAGGGTGAAAAATGCTACCTATGCAGTAAAAATGGAGGACGTAAACAGAGCAACTTCTTTCCTGAGTGAATCACACGTCCAACGAAGAGCAAGCGAAATGAGGACAGCGGTAGGCATGTCATTTCCTGCTATCAAGTTAGGCCTCATTCCAAGATGCACTGCGGAAGGCGAAGACTCGGTGATTGTAAGGTAATCAAAGGGGTAAACAAATGGATATGTCGCGCACTCGTTAGTAAATAATGCAAAATTTAACAAACTTTGATGCAATGAACATGCTGGTCTCAGCCTTTTTTTTCGACATAACATCTATTAGTGATGAGGATGTTCAATTCATCCCTATTATTTAGCATTTCTTTTTCCAATAAGAGGATTCCAAAAGTTGCCTTTGCTCCATTGTTCCAAAATTGACAACACCATTTCTTGCTATTGTGAATAAGCTGATTCCTTCGTTGCACTCTCCCCCGCCTGATGCTTTTCTTGACCTCCTTTTCAGAAAGTAATCGTCATCACCGATTGTTTAGTGCCAGGTAGTAAAAACGTAGGATTCATGTCAAATTTACGATGTGAACTCGAACAGAACTCAACTGCCTTCCTGCATTTCTGCCTTCTTGCTTGCCTGTCAATCGCTCCTGAAGGAATGGTCGCTACGTATTTGCAAAGCTGCGAAAGCATAAACCCACACTCGTTTGGCTTTACTGAGTAAAGTGCGTCACCTTCTTGAAATGGGCACTGCAATTCAGGATAATGACTTGGAGTTCTGCAGCGGTTAGGCATGGCTATTGTTTGGCGATTTGTTCTACGGCCCAAAAGCATAGCTTTAATACAAATGCATTATCCTCATTATCAGCCTCAGCGCGTATTCTCGCAGACGGTTACTGTTATTAATCAAGATCCAAATATTTCTAAAATCAACAACAGTTATCAAACAAAGTAAATAAAACTTTTCTCTCTTTATCAAATAGAGTTTAGGAGGAAAACAAAAACAAGGCTAATCTTGTAATTGCTTAATAAAATCAGATTTTTCTTTACATATGGCAGAGGCCTCGTGATTACAGTTGGCTAATAGATGCCTGATTCAAATTTCACACCATGGATGCCATTGGAATAGACTTCGATACAAATCAACTTGACAAAATATAAAAAATACATTCTACTAATTTAGCTATCAGTAAAATTAAATTCCTGTGGTCCGGGTTGGCAAAAAATTGTTAGTTTCCCTGTGGCAGTTAGAAGGGTTTCTGATGTTAGCTCGATTGCAGCTTTATCCTTCTATCTCCACTTTGCGCGAGGTCAGACTCACACACTTCACTTTTACTGAGCAACATTGCACTTCCGACATTACACTCACTCTGCCGGTCCTGCGCCCGTTGCCACTACACAGTCTGCCTTCATCTTGTGGCCTTTCGTCGGTTGAGAAAGATTTAAGCGCCTAATAAGGGAAATCAGGAGGCGAATTTAACCCGAATTAACTACTATGAAAAGGAAGAAGTTAGCTGCGATGTCGCTGCAATACCTATATGATGACGTCAAACCAGCTAACGGTGGATGTATGGGGTAGCACATTTTCCTTCCCCTCAACACAGTTCCCTATCTCGTCAAGAGGTTTGTGTTGTTGCAATTAAAATGTTTACTAACTACAAGGAAACGAGGCGAGGATGGCTGAAGGGCATTTTTTAACGCATAGTTGGGGGCAGGCGGGGAAGGAGAAAACGTGGAAGGGATATGTGCTTGCATTTTTGTTTTACTTTTGCTATTTGTAAAAGCTTCACTCGTATATACTTAATTCGAAAATGATTTTTCTGTCCTGGAAATTATGGCTTTAGGCGAGACTTATGTGGCTTAAAATGTTCAAGATTACGAATTTCCCTATAATTGTGCTTTCCATCCATCAGCATCTGCAAAACACGCAACAATTAACTTTTTGTCAAGGTTTTTGAATACAATTGTGATACTTTGCGATATAGACGTGTAATTTTTGGTTTGAAAGTTTAAAATAGTGAATTTCAATGTGTTCTCTTCTTTTGTAGCACTGTTGTGTAGCTACTTTGCTGTAAAGTTCCGAGAGGACTTGAAATTCCACATTGGTGTGTGCCACCCTTTCTTAAGTTACTTCACAAGACGAAAGTTTTCTCGAGTGGTTAATGCCGTAGATTTGGCTTTTATTGCACCTACGTGGTTGAATAATTAGGAAGACATATGGTCGCGAAGCAAGAGAATCTGTCATTAATCTCATAACTGTAAGACGACGCTTCATATAGTTATTTTCCACAGCATTCAATATGTACATAAATTATTCTTTAGCTCCAAAATGTCTAGTGAAGACGAAAAAAAACGAAAACAATGGCGACCTCCTAGCATGGACCAAAGGCCGTGCCGCTTAGCGGAAGCTCAGTTTAGAGTTCTTAGTGCTCTCAAGACTGAAACAAAGAATTAGCAAATGAGTGAAGCATTACAATTTATCGTTATTCGTGCCTTACATTGGAGAGGTTATCGTACTTCCCTCATCCTGCGAAGGTACTTGAAAAGCGTTCTACTTAAGCTGTAGAAAAACGCAGCAACCCATCATCGATGTGTCCACCCTCGTAAATCCTTAAAAATTCCAAGCAGAGATCGCATTCTCAAAACCCGCCATTACGGCAAAATGCACATTTCGTTTTCTTCACAATCAGACTGGTCTCTACTCTTCCCCTTCTTTGAATAGGCTGGTGACTACGATGACTCCTATGACTTTGGTAGCAGATCCAAAACATCTGACAAAGCACTGCTGTATTTTGTTTACCCACTTTGTTACTTGAGTATTTAAAATTGTCCAAAAAATGTTCTCACTGTCCACTGCTTTTGAAAAAAACTTTCCTACAAACAGAAATCAAAGGGTGCGTTTTTCAATTCCTTCGTGATGGGTTGGGAATCGAGCACTTGACGAAGACTTTCGCAGTCTAAAATAACTTTGTCAAGCTGACCAACGCCTAGCCTTTTTCAACTAAAAATAGTTTATGGTATTATTAAGTAGATTTGAATCCCAACAAGCCGAACAAATGTCTTTTCAAATTGAAATATGGTCTGTCAGTGGGTCAGCTCCCACCTCGGTCATTAGCAATTCACTCTTCGAACTGTCTGCTCATTTGACGCACAAAAGTAACGAGTTTAGTTTAAAAAGAAATTAGAAATTTTGCATATGCAAATGTTGCTTCAAATTAAATAGAGGATTGAAGAAACTCAATCTACTGCATAGTCTTCAGAGCCTAGAATTTGAGCAAGTAGAACGCCAACAAGGGTAATTTAGCCCCCTGGCGTTTGGTGACTTTTTTTATGGTAACTTTCTTCAGATTACTTACAAAAACCTCTCGTCATTTTACCAACATTTCGTGAAAATTCTGCACTACTGGAGGAAAAAGCAATTTCTTGACCAGTTAATAATAACTAACCCTATCTTAAAGGAAATTCGGACACTGAACACCTCATTATCTTGCAAAACTAGTGGACAAACCATCGGTTGGGTTCAGATTACCAAACTATGAATCCTGATGCGCTACACCCCGTGCAGTCTGTCGGCGCACACCGTCTGTTTGTCCATGCCCATGACCAATCAGCTATCAGAGCTGAAGTTCGCCCACATGGCACAAATTTTTGCAAATGCAAAGCCTATAAGGAGATCCTCCCTTCCCGCTATTTCCCTATTTGTTCTCTCAATTAGCCGCGATTGGCGACCGACGACCACCGACAAGTAAGTCACACATCATGGCTCCACAAAATCTACTCACACTAAGATCTCACGAGGAATTCCAGCCCAAATGGTAGTGACACTGACTCACCTCGGTCTTAGTCCCTTCACTTTGTCTCTGTATTAGGGTTATGTTATGAGAGTAAGTTACCCCGACAAGTTGGGAGGTGGCCTGCCTGTCCCTTTAAAGAAAACATATCTCTTAATGTTGACTGTCCTGGTGACAGACACAAAGCATCAAAAGAGAGAAGGCTTAAATTTGGACTCCAGCATCACCCACTAAACATTTCACTTAAAATATGACTGAACTACTAAACTTGTTTTAATTACGAATGCGAGTACGCAATCGCTTTTGGTCTTTAGCAAAACGACTTTTACGACACAAACAATGTGCTTTAAAGTCTGCTTACATAAAAAGACATAATGAATGAAATTACCAACAGGTAATTGGAGGTGCACAAGCTGTAGGTGAAAGCAAAGAATCAACTAGCCTTTATTTCAGAGGCAACTTCCATAGAGCTTGAAACAATGATCAAACTTTCGGTACAACAGTGACAGGAATGGAGGCCTCATGGATAACATAATCACTGACGCTGCCAAGAAAGGTTCGTCGGATGGCTCCCAATCCCCGCGTTCCCATGATTATGAGATGGGCATCCATTTTTTCCGCTTGTTTTACAATTGCACAACCAACGTTTTCTGCCGGTTGGCTCAAAAATTCACAATTCAAACCTGCAGCTCTTCCTTCAGCAATGAAGTCGTCTTGAAGACGATTGAGACTGTCTACCCGTGTTTTTATAATTTTTGTCCAATCCTCGACCGGGATGGAACTGGGATTTGTTAACGTAACCGAGGGCAGCGAGGGTGGCTCAAAGGCGTGAAAGAAGACGACTCCATCGTCGGGTTGTCGAGACCACTTGAGGTACCAGTGGAAAGCGAATTTAGCATTTTCCGATTCGTCCACGGCAAAGAGGATTCGCCTTTTACCCGATGCAACACCGCCAGTGCGTAGGCTCATGACTCTCCTAATAAAAATATCTGTTACAAAATGGCAAATCGTAGCAACACAGGAACCAATGACGGAGCCTTTGATTGGTTCCTCTGGGACCAATCATTGCGCTGCGTGAAGGCTTAACCTTAACGATGTGTATGAAATAACTAGGAATACTGGTAACATGTAAGCAAAACAGTGGACTTGGGTCAATCTCCATTC